GCCTCCCCTGCCCTCCTGGCGCCTTAAGGGGCCGGGAGAAGTGGCCGTCCAGCGGAAGGGCAGCTACCTGCTGCAGAGGGAGGCGGAGGGACGGCGTTAGCAGACGGAGGTGCACTCTCTCCATCCTGTCTACAACCCTGCAGGGACAGAGGAACTAATAAGCATTTTAAGCAAAATGCTTTGCCAAGAGTGGCTCCCTCAATAACGCTCTTTAATGATACCCCAGACGCTGGCATTTTCAAATCAAATGAACAGTGTATAAAATTAGTTCTGCATGAAGTTAAAAAAAAAAGAGTAAGTGAAAGGGAGCTTTTAAAAGCTCTAGCATTTCTCCATTCCAACTGCTTTTCACAAGGGTTTGGCATATGAGAATTGCTACATTTATGATGTTATTCGCTGCTCATAATTCAGGCTCTCTGTCTCCAAACTTCTGTATTAACACGCACTGCAGAGGTTTCCACCGCGACATTTTATCACCGAGGTTTCCCAAACCAGCCAGCCTGCCTCTGGCGAGGTCTGGTTTCTCAGCCAATGCTATGCCACCGGGATCCCTCCCTTTTCATCAGCCTTGTTACCCAAAACATTTTTTCATTAACCTCGAACGCTGTATTTCCATTTGCCCTACAGCTTTTCCATGAAAAAAAAAAAATTTTTTTTTTTTTGTCTTTTCCAGTTTTGTTCTCCATCCAAACTGCCTTGCGAGAAATGAGGAAAATATATTATTAGAAGAAACAGATCTATATAGAATCTAGCATTCGCTGAAGTTGTGAAAATGATTTTTATAACCAAAGCCGCCGTCTATAATTAAGGCAGGCGGAGTCAACATATTGCTCCGATTAGAGTTCCCGTTGATTATACAAGTGGTTTTTAACTAAATCGCTAAGTAAATGTGTGTTAAGTTGATAGGTGATTTCGGGTCAGCTCTAATTCCCAAGGCCAAGTAAGCCTTTGAACAGTCTTTAAGGATATAAATTCACCCCAATTCATCAAAGCCACCTCACACAGCGTGTTCTTCTCTTGGTTCTTACAATGCACTAAAGTTTAGGAGATTAAGCGGAGTCAGCTTCAAAACCCAAAGCGATGCCTGTGACATGCTTATCCATCCAGCAATCAGAAAAGCTATTCACACAGGGGCTTCCTAACGCACTTCCTAATTTTACAAGCGCGCCGGGAGCGCCACGTTCGTCAAATGGCGGGAGGACTCCTCCGTCATCGCCGCATCGCCGCTGCGGCCCAGCAAATTCTACTGCTGTTTTGCTTAGACTCCTCTGATACTCTAAGTACATGTTGCTTTCGTCTGCAAGCAATATGTTTGATGTTTCTCATCTGTTCTTTGTTTACCTAATGAGAGAAACGGAGGAAAAACACCTTCCTACAACAAATACCATGCATTTTGTTATTCTTATAATTTTTTTCAAAAACTCAAGTGAGGAAAACAGCATAAGTTTGGGTTAAGGATAGCTTTCAGATTAAGGATAAGAGGCCCCAAATGAAACAGACGGCACATGAAAGAAAACATAACCAGCCTTCCATATTTCTCAGAACCATAGGAGCACAGCACACACGTCCTGGGACACACAGATATCACTCCCCCCCGCCCCCCCCCCCCCCCCCCCAGGGCAGGGACCCAGGGATAGCATTTCTGAAGTGGAGGTAACTGTGCAGACTATTGAGATCTCTCCTTCACTCCTTTAGCTCCACGAAGGGGAAGGATAACTCTTATTTGTGAATTATTAGCGGTCAGCAGGTCTGGTTAAGGTCCAGGGAGAAGAGTGAAAGGCCCAAATTAATTTAGTTAGTTCTTTGTTGGCACAGATGGTCACATTGAGGTAGTAAATTATTGTCTCCATATCCTAATCATAATGTCTCTGTGCTTCCTGTTTTTATTATTTTTCTTAGTACTTTTCTTTTTGTTTACCTATTTGAATTGTCTGCTCTCCAGCTCACCCTTTCCTCCTCCCATTACAAATATTTCTTCTTTCCTCTGCCTGAGTTAGTAAGTTGATCCCCAATACTGTGTGTCCCATGGATGCATTGGTTTTCCTTCGTGAAATGAATAGAAATGTGATTATGGGTATCTTTGTATAGAAAAGAATCTGAAGTCTAAATTTAAGTGAGGAAAAAGTAAAAGGGCAAAATCTCCTGTAATCTGAGTTTATTTTCCCCCCTTCGTTTTAATTCCCTTTCAAAACAGGAGAGCAGGCAATACACTTTTTTTTTTTCTCCTTTGGAAATTCAAATATCAAACCACAGGTTAATATAATGATATTAATGATAAGAATAACCAGCAACACTGAGCATTTTATATATCACACACAATATTCTTAGGGCTTGATAGAAGTGCACTCACTGACATGCTCACAGCACTTCGATAGGAAAGGTACTATTGTCACCGCCATTTTTCAGACAAGGAAACACAGACACCGGGATGTTAAGATAATACAACCAAGTGTCGAGCCCAGATCTAAACCTGAACTCTGGTTCCAGAGTCCATACCCTCCACTACAAACTGTTTTTCTTTGCTACTCAAAAAAAATTTTTTTTGAGTCTTAATAAAAATTTTTTTGAGTCTTAATAAAAATTCGAAAGCAGGTAATGGATAGCATGATACCAATTTTGAAAGATGATTTCCATTCAATTTAATCAGACAGGCGTTTATGTGCAGGTTTCACTTGCACGTTGTGTGTGGTTTGGAAACTTTTTCTCTCTTCACAGAACCTCTCATGTTTGCCTCTGAGCTGCCTTAAGCCTGAGGGCGCCGGGCAGCAAGCCTGGGCCCAGCACCCCCTGGCTGGCCACGGGCTGTGGTTGGACCCCTGGTGCTAGAGCCAGGGCTGCCCGCTCAGAGCAGCTCTCACATTGGAGAGAGGATTCAGAGGCTGCCCCAGGAAATGGGCAAAACCCTCCGGGGTACCACCAAACAGAACAGTCGCCCCATCTCCTTTTGAACTAACTTGTATTTGGGTAGAAAAGGATCCATTTTTTAAACTTAAAATTAGCAAAATGCTGGTCAGCAAATATATCTGAAATAATCTCCTATACTAATCAGAACGTAAGTTTCTTTTAAAAATGTTTTTTAAATTGGTTTTTGTTTTTAAATTTTCAATGACAGTTTACATTCAACACCAGTCTGTATTAGTTTCAGGTGTACAGCATTGTGATCAGACAATCCTAAATTTCACAAAGTGTTCCCCCTCCCGATATTTCCAATACCCTGCTGGCACCATGTACACTAGTAGTTATTACAATACTATTGTCCATATTTCCTCTGCCATACGCCCCATCCCCACGACTGTTTTGTAGCTATCAATCTATACTTCTCTATCCCTGCATCTTTCCACCCAGTCCCACAGCCCCCTCCCCTCTGGCAACCTTCAGTCTGTTCTCTGCATCTGGGAGTCTGGTCCTGTTCTGTTTAGGACATAAATTTCTACAGTTCATCACTGGAAGTGGAGCTGATCTCAACACATCCAAAGACTGGTTGGTTGGGATACAGCGACCCACTTTGAACGCACACGTTTTGGTGTCCTTGCTCACGGAGTACTCATGTCTGAACTCCTCTGGCTGAGACCGAGGACTTCTGCTGTCATTGCTCAACATTTCCAGGATACTCTGATGACTGTGGGCCCTCCCTTTAACTTTCTAAAAAAATAATTTTATTTTAAAGTGACAGAGTTAGTAGTGCTAGGTTTAGTTAGTAGTGAAGTTTGAGGGAGACTTGTAACACTTGGGTCTCAGTGCTATTGCTTAGTAACAAAACCAGTCAGCTTTCTAAGCTGGGATGAGACTCTATAATAAAATCTCTTTAAACATTACCAATGGGCAAAGGCCTGGTATAAGTTTGGATTTTAAAGTGACTTTCGAGCATTTAGAGAACAGAATGGGGTCAATTAACAAATATGACAAAACACACAAAGGATTTGGGCTATTCCTTCTATTGGCCCCAAATTTGCTACATTTAGAAAATGCATGTCCTTTGAGATACATATAGTATTTTGTTTCACTCTCGTTTGCTAGATATGTCCCTAACCACCACTTGCAAAAGTATCACACCTGTGTAAATTATTGTAAGACGCCAGCGTTTTCTGAGCAAGTATCTGAGGTGGCTCTTTTTCAAGGAAACGGTCCCTGTGCCTGGAGATGCCCTGAGGATGTGCCAGGAGCCTGAACACAGGCGCCTAAGACCTGGGGCAATATCTGGGATGAGTGGCCTGGAGCCATGTGTGGTCTTTCTGAGACTCTATATTCTCATCTTCACAGCATGAATAACTATTCCTTAGATCTGTTATAGGGGAAATATCTTCAAAGGGCCCCAAATTAAATATGGCCCAATTTCCCAAACTCATGTTCAGGTCTCTGGACCATCTCCACTGACCTGCAGTGGGACCTCTGGGGCCGTTTCTCAGCATATGCTAAAGGCAGCAGCTTAAGTGTGGAGAGATGCAAATTCCCCATTCCAGCCCATTTTTGTCCCCCAGATAGTCAGAATACATAGATGTTGGGCACTGAAACTGCATACTTTGAACTGGGGGAAAAACAACCTGGCACTTTCTTTCTGCCTTACTGCTGCAGGGAACTTGGAACCCAGAGCAGAATTTTACTGTCAGACCCTGCACGTTGCAAAGTGCCATGCAAACATTATACATTTTGTCCATGGGCTTTAAGGGTAGGAAGTCAAAATCAAAGTTGACTATGAGTATGATTGCTTTTTCTTTCTGCATAAGGACAAAATTCATTTTTAAACAGAGTAATGAAAATATAATGTCAGATTAGGTTAGAAAGCCAGGCATCTTAAAATCCATAGCTGTTAAACAGTGCATGTATGTATGTACATGTATACATATATACCTACATATATACCTATATACATACATAACCACATACGTATATGGAGAGAGAGAGAGAGAGAGAGAGAGAGAGAGAGAGAGAGAGAGAGAGAATGATATCCAGCTATTAACTACACTGATATTTATAAAATTAACTTGAAAGGTAACTCTTACTTTATCGCATCTCATCAGCCCCAAATATCTCAGAGACTTGCTGCTCTGAGCAATCAGGGTGGCTCCTTGGTCTGTAATTTCTTTGCACCATCCGACATCCACCGTCTCTATGGTCATGCTGTATCGCCCAATGGCTATCAGCGCTGCGGGAAGAGATGGGGGGAAAAAGGCAGAATAAACATTAGCAGTGAAAGGATTCTCTATCTCATTATGACCATTTCTCTCATTTTCTCACTAAACTTGTTCCTGAAATGGTGTGTGTAAATGCATGTTTTATAAACAAAATTAAATGCTTCCGGAAAGCTTGCCCTATGACAAACCCTTTCACAAAGTGAATGATCACTCCATAATGTCCCTTTCATTGGAACACAACCTTTTATCAGTTTTACTCATTGCAAGGTTACTTGTACTTGCAAACATACATATCTGCAGAAGGAACAAATTAAAATGAATTACACACATAAAGTGCTACAGAAAACCCCAAGTAGTAACTAAACTTTACCCAAGATAACGTTAATTTAAAAAAAGAAAGAAAAATCCATATAAACACCATTTTGAGGTGCATAACACTGCATATGAATTTCTTTACTGGTTGGCATGCATTTTTCCATCTGTTTATGATCTTAAAATGTAAGAATACATAATATTTTTCAGGTTAGACCTTCTTGGGACTGTTAGGAATTAAGAGTACATTATACATACAGTTGAATTTAATTGATGCCATGCTATAGTGCAGTAAAGGGAATGCATTTGTGCTGGTGAATTTCTTCCTCATATCAGAAGTATTCTTCCCACTAACATATAAAATGAAACCTGTCATCTGAAAACTATGACAGCATCTCTAGTCTCCTTGACTGTTTAGCCTGGTACTAATGTGCAGAAGCTCATCCCATAATCTCTGAGGTGCCCTCCTTATCACTGCTCATAACCAGCTGCCCCATCAGAGTGACCAATCAGTGAATGTGGATCTTTGCTGCAGACCTCTGATTGGACAGACACACATGCCTCTACCTTTGTGAGCAGAAAAACAGATTTCAATAACTCCATCCAGAGTGTGTTTATGGTGCATTAGTATGTAAATGAAAGCCTCCGAAAGCAATGCCACAAATACTAAAAAGGAAGAAGTTGTTTGCTAATTATTTCCTCATTCTATGATAGGATGAATTGATTCACTAGATTAATAAGAGCAGAGTGAATTATTCATGTGAATAAATGTTAACTCTTACACCTCAGAGAAAAGTATACTTGGCAAAATCACTTTGCTAATTACCTCAGTAATTTTTCTTTTAACCATAAAACTCATGCCCATTCCTTCAAATATCAAAGACATATATTAAAAGCTTACAAAAACAATAATCATGATCCCAGTGTTTTCCAGTGAAAACGCTATAAAAGAAGAGAAAAAGTTTTTCCTGGAAGTTCCTCATGCCACTAATTTGCAGATGCTCTCTTCTTCGTGTGAGCTATTTTGGCATTTAGTTTTCCTAGGAGATTAGGCAGGGCCCGGGGCGATCTGCCAAAGGTTTGCTGAATGGTCTGAATGACATTTTTGTGTAGTAGAAGCAATGTCTCAGGTCAATCCCATTGGTGTTCTTGACCTAAGAAAACTGTTGTTATCTCTGTTATGGTCATAACATTGGTTATGATGTCCTGAGGATCTCCTATGAGGAATGAAGTAGAAGATATATAAAAGACATTCCTTTCAATACAAAGTGCTCAAACTGAGATTTCAAAAGACCACAAAGCACAAGTTGCAAGATGGCCTTGGGGCGGTAGATCGTGCACTTTTATTGAGGTTTAAGGCTAGAACATGAAAGCCCTGCAGTAGCTAGAAAAAAGTAAATCACATAATCCGAGGAGTTCTCAGAGGCTGCTTCCTAAGCAAGTAGAGTCAACAGCGATTTATTCTACGTGTTAAAAACACTGGTGTTTGGTATTTTCTTTTTTGTCCAAATTAAAATAAACAGCAAATAAGAAAAATGAAGATACATCAGGGTATTCAATTTTTGTTTTGTCATAGTTGTTGCTTAACTTGTTCATTTACTCAACCAACACTTCATGAGCTCTCACTCTACATCCTTCTCTCCAATATTTATAGACTATCCACGTACTAGGCAATGGGCTAAGACTTTTAGGTGCATTATCACACTTAATCCTCACAGCAATGTTATGCAGTTGTATTGTTATTTCCATATTAAAGATCAGAAAATGGGCCACAGAAAGACTGAGTAACTTTCCCAGTAGAACAAGATAGCAAGTGGGGAAGTGGATAATAAACTCAGAGCTGGCTCTCAGCCCTGGATGCCCATCCAACCTACTAAGCTGGAATTAGTGGTCAGGCCATTGTAATTCACATGCGGAACTGTGGTGGGACACAGGGGACCCGTGCTGAGTACCGGAGACAGAGCGATTCCCAGAGCTCAGAGGCCAGCTTCGTGGTGTGGGTGATGGGAGGTTTGGATGGAAATGAGGAACAAACAAACAGTCACTTGGGGGATTGCGGGGAGGGTAGGTAGGCTACCTGTGTTCAGGATGTATTTCCCTTTACCATGATTCTGGAGTGAAACACGACAGCTTATAGGTAGCCAAGTATTTGCCTGTGACTATAAGATTCTTCATTGGAATTTTCAAATTCTAAAATGCATACTGAGTAATTTACCTCCCTGTGACTATATACTACCTTTGAATATTTTTTCACTATGGCTCATGAGCTAGCTGTGAACCGTGTAGTGCAATTTCAAACCATGTAGCCTCACAATGATCTCCAGTGGTCAGCAAACTGCGGCTCGTGAGCCAAATGCGGATCCTGGTTTGCTGCTCTGTTGACTAATGAGTTTGCCGACCACTGTAAGTAGATGTCTGGCCTCAGGATGACATTTAACATTTCTGAGTCTCTGTTTCCTCACCTGGACAAATGGGGATATTGACTCCATGGAGACCTGCCTTCACAGTGCTGGCTTGAGGTTCAAATGAGATGATACATGTAAGGGACTTTGCACTACATAAAAGTCATGATGAATTTGATATTTCCCCAAACCATCCTACAGTAGTGCAGTTGACTAAAATGAAAAGACTTGAAAGAGTTTTGAAAAATAAACAGCTCCGGGCAAATGAGAGCATTATATAAGTACTTGGTCATTATGTCACTGCTATACTTCTTGAACTGTCTACTCTCCATTGGTGTTCATGAAACCCACAGACTGCACCTGGGATGACAGGGCTGTAAATGTGTGTATGATTACTACCTTCATTAAAGACTGTTGACACATTACAATGATATTTATTGAGCCCTGAAAGGGAATAAATTATGCAAGACTAATTCCTAATCCCATGCAATGTTAATATATTTTTTTTGATGTGCTAAGTGCATCAAATAAAATTAAATTTTAAAAAGTTACACAAATTACAAGCTGTAATTCAGCAACTCATATGATGATCAGGGAAAGATATAGATCAACCCATTAACAGGCATTTCCATAGGCATACAGAGTGACTGAAAAACACGGGCACATATGCACTTAATTTTGACTAATAAATTCCATTTCTAGGAACCTACCCTGAAAATATACTTCTAATTATACAAAATTACATATATATATATATATATATATATATATGTTTTTTCATGGGGGCATTGATTGTATTATACTTGCAAACTTACGAAAACAGCCTCTGAACCATAGTAACGCTTTACATACCTCCCCCCCCACACACACACACAAAATTAAAGCCAACTAGAATGGGGGGGGGACCCAAAGTGAAAAACAAACAGCAACAAATCAATCCTAAGTGTATTACCAATGAGCAGCGTGAACCTGCCGAGTGATATAACCACACTGAAGGGATGGGAATTAAGTCACTTTGGAAAACATGATTTTGACTGAATATTATAAGGCGCAAAACCAAAATGAACTGCCACCAAATATTGTTCTCTAGTTAGTAAATATATTTCCCACAGAGGTGTGAGTGAGCAATTCAGAAACAACTTTATGTGTAATCTAGGATTGTAGATACTGAGTGCCAGTCTTTGAACTGTTAGAGAAATGGGTTACAAATAAGAAAAGAAGATTATAATGAACCTGTGGTATTGAACTGAAATCAGAGGTATTAAATGAACTCATATATTTTATATTTACACACATACACACATATACATAGATAGTCACATGGAAATAACCAATAAATATCATGTATGTGCATTCATGGTTTACTACACATACATATATTTCCTATTTTTTTTTTTGCTGAGAGGGATAAGAGCAATGACACTCCAGAAACAATGACCTACTAGCACCCAGATCTTTTTTCTTTTTTTCAAAACATCATTCTCCAATAAAAGAAATCAAGGCTTCTCAGAGAAATGACTGATTTCAGGTCTGTGGCAGGGAAAATACAAGATAAGACTGGAACATCATATGTTCACACACACACACACACACACACACACGCAACACACAAACATTGCTTAAAAGGAATGAGAGCATGCCAAAAGGACACTGAATCCAACCAGAAAAGAGCTGCCAATGCCACATCTGGAAGAATATGAGCATCAAATAATGATAGCATTGGATTATTATTCAAAAATTGGAAACGCATCTATAAGTCCTTACTGATATAAATGATCAAATAAATAAATAGACAAGGAGGGGCAGATCTTCCTTACAGAAGAATTTTTTAAGAAATGTATGGAATAAGAGAAATACCAAAAAAGTAAAAAAATTTAAAAATCAGGTGAAAACCATAGTAATCACTGTTGCAGGCAAGCTCTAGCAGTTGATATTAAAATCTGTTGGTAAAAGTTTGAGAAAAAACAGAATATGGGCAGAGTGCCGAAGACATTTAACAATTTTCAAAAATCATAACTTCATAGTAGGGAGACCCAGCAGACACCACCTTCCCCAAATGATTAAGGTTAGCACTACCAGTGACAACACATATATGCCAAAATGAATAATATCAATTTACACATCAGAAAACATTGCACAAAACCAAACTGAGAAACAGTCTACAAAGTAATTCACCAGTACTCATCAAAAGGGTCAAGATAATGGAAAATAAAAACGAGTAAGGAAGTGTCACAGACTGAAGGAGTCTAAGGAGACAAGAAAACTAAATACAGAGTAGTATAACTCGGCTGGCATGA